TTAGTATTTCTGTTTATATTTACTTCGAATTTAATCACTTGCGGGCCGGGAGTAATGTCGGAACCACAATCGAACTGCGGAAACCACAAAGAGATACGTTATGTACTTAAGTTAATTATTATTGAGTTAGTTGATTGGCTATTCAGTAACAAGTTACGTGAGCCCAAACTTCCGGCCACACTGTATGTATACTTTCAACACACGCTTTATTCGGCAGTAGCTGTATAGTATTCGTGTAGTCTATATCGTATAATAAAGTCTCTTTCCTTGACTTAATCGATCGTCTCCTTTATCCTGTAATTTCGATTCCCACACACGTTTAAGAAAGAATAAAAGGTTAAAAAAATCAATAAATAAAATAAAATAAAAATAAGCTAATACATTACAGAGAAATAAAATATTAAGACTAAATTATTATACTATAAAAAGATAGAAAAACAAAATTCAAAACTTAACTGTGAACGAACATTGTCACTGGGGTTGCTGTCTTATTTCAAAACACTTCTTTAGATACCTTGCTACAGGGAGTGTTGGACCACTGTTGTTTAGCAATGCTATGAATTGTGTCTTTGGTGAAAAATTTTGGATTTTGGTTTTTGCCATTTCAAATAAGACATTTCTATCGGGGGTATAGGTGGTACTTGTCTCATCTTCTACTTGATTCTGATCACAAAGGTTGCATAGTCTATTAGCAAGGGGTATTCCTTTGTGTCTACCAGTCTCAACTTTCAGGTTATGGTTTTTAATTCTCTGTGTGTTCTTAATTTATTGTTCTCATTTTGCTTTGATCGATTGTCGTTATGTAATTCACTTTTCCAGGTTGATATAAATGATGTTTGCATAATTTTTATTAATTTGTCCTAATTGCCTTGCTGTTAGAATTCCATTGTTTCGACCAGGTTAGACTGGTTGATGTTATTCAAAAGGGAGTCTATTTTAGTGTACCTCTTACTAATAATGTCTTTGTTTTCTTGGAAAGCTTGTAATAATGGATTTGACGAGATCTGTACACGATTAAAATATTATCATTTGTTTTCCGATAAAAGTCTCCAATGGGTAACGTCCAATTTTACCATAAAAAGCCCATTGTTGTGATGTTTTCGGATGTCCCCAGGAGAAAACGAAGATAATTTATATGTATATCTTCAATTGATGATTTTGGTGCAATTTCCCCCCACCCCCCCATACATCACTCCCATTTGTATATTGATAAATTATCAAGGTGTGGCTCGGCTAGTACAAGACGTAAAATGAAAAAACTCAAAAACATCGTAATGTTATTACTTCTACACCAAGAACACCTCTGGAAACCTACATCGATTTGTTGGCCAATGACATTGAACTTTGCTCTTCCATAAAGCAGCAATTTTCCTCTTCAAATAATCAAAAATACCCTTGATACCCTGGAGAAGTATGTCCATTGTTTCACAACTATGACTGTCCCAAGGGATTTTCGTCTTTTCAATTTATCAAGATAACCGTCCCAAGGTTGTTTTGTTTGCTAGAACGAAATATCCTTTGGCAGCATTACTTGTATTAATTTCAATTGCACCAAAAACAGCAAATACTGTTACATATATAGTTGGTGACAGCAGCTATGATGGATGTATTGTGACGTATTTTGACCCCGGGATTCTGACCTTGAATTCTGACCACATTTACTGCCCTTTCATACCCGTTCAATTTCCTTTCATGATATTTAAATCAACATTTATTTCAAAGTCACTCTAGTTTTCACTTTTCTTAAATGATTGTCCTGGTCAAAAGACTTTTCACTCCCTTCATGCAATCTCCCATAGTACTTCTGCAGACACAGCAGCGATCGCCAGCATAACTACAAATAACCTCGCTCTCAGGAGCTGAGGAATAACAACCTTTATTGATATCGTATCCCCATTGACGCTGCAGGTCGGCGTCTTCTACACCGATCTGACGCATATCGCACAAGGTGTGCGGGGAGTCAATCGTCGATTGCCATGTATTTTACGGATATATTAAATTGTTTCAGGAACCTGTTTACTAAATAATGATAAATGAAACTTAAAAAACTTGTAAGCACAAACTGGGCCCAAATTGCGCAAATTTGCAAAACGTTTACGATGCTAGTGTCTGGTTCGAAAGGAGTTCTACGCGTGATTTTATGGCGTTTAGGCCAGACTTTTATTATCTCTTGTTTCACGAACCCGCCGAATCATGATGAACAGGAGCCGAAAATGAAATAAAAATAAAATTTTATTTCAGCATAATTTCTCGCGCCCGCCGACGTGTAAGCGCAAAAAATGCTAAAAAAATATTATTTTTACCTTC